AAACCAAGCACCTTTTAAACCAAACCAAGCACCCTTTAAACAAAACACATTTTAAACCAAACCAAGCACCTTTTGAACAAAACACATTTTAAGCCAAACACTTTTTAAACCAAACATATTTTATACCAAGCACCTTTTAAACCAAACCAAGCACCTTTTAAACCAAACCAAGCACCTTTTAAACAACACACTTTTTGAAACCAAACACCATTTAAAACCAAATGCATTCTAAACCCACCCACCAACACCTTGTTCCAGCAAACAGACCCCCCTGAGCACAAAAAGAGAGCACACACACACAGAAAGAGAGAGAAGACAATTGGGGAGAGAGACTTGAGTCTAAACCCCATTTTACACCATGATTTTGAAACAAAAAGACTTTGGAGTCACATTTTAAACCCACACATTTTAAAACAAAAAAGAGGTCACAGTACACAAACCCTAGGAGCCACAGAATGCAAAAATAAATAAATACATTTTACATTTTAAATTACAGTCTAATTTTCACATTTTATTTTAATTTAATATTACAGTCTACATTTCACATTTTAAATCCACACTGCAAGACCCATCGGAGCACAGAAACATAACCCCCCACCTAGCCCAAACCAAAGCTGCAAAAATCCTGTACAGTAAATACAATGTACTCACCCAGAACAGGCAGCTCTCTGTTTTAAAAAGGAAAGTCAAAATCCAAAAGAGCAAAGCAAAGGAAAGCAAAGTGTGCTGCTTATGTACCACCCCATAGTGCTTCAAGCACTCTCCGGGTGATTTACAAGTTAATTATGCAGACTACACATTGCAACAAAAGCAACCAAAGCCTCCCAAGAACCTTTGGAAATGGGGGGGACCCAAAAAAAACCCCACAAACTGCCCAAGATCCATCACAGCACAGAAACATGACCCCTGAGCTGAAAGCCACGCTGCAAAAACACCCAGAACAGTTTTTTAAATGCAGAAAACAGCACCTTACCTTCCTGCAAATACACACATGCTCACTCTGAAGCACAAGGAGGCAGTTCCGAAGTTGACAACAACGACGCACACTAACTGCTGAGGGGAAAGATTTACAAAGAAGCAGCCTTCTTGCCACCTACAGTTAGAAATTTGAATTTCCTGCCTTTTCCCCTGCCTTTTTCTGTTCATAACTAAAAGCCCTGGTCGCAAGTAGAAGCAAAATTTTGCAACTGGAGTTGACCATAACTTGAAATGGTCATAAGTAGGGATGTTGGTAAGTCGAGGCACCATTGTAATTGAAATCTCCCATCACTACTACATTGTGTCTCTTTGAAAACCCTGCATTTTTTTCAAAAGTTTTATCCGTTTCCTCGCTTTTCCTGAAGAGGAAGCTGAGGAAGCAGGTGAGCTGTGTTTGGGAAGACATTTTATTTGGTGAGGTATTTTTTTCTAGGCTGATCTTTGTTCTCCCTGACCGCATGGTCTGAGGGGGCGGGAGTTTAGCTTTAAATAAGCGCGAGCAGTAGGATTCTCTGATTCTATTTTTTTACTCTAATCAAGCAGTAGGATTCTCTTATTCTATTTTTTTACTCTAATCTGGCAAATAGTGAAGCCAAATAGCATTGCATACACCTGGGGGGCAGGAAAGTTTTAGGGGTTGGATCATACTTCCGCCCTATTAGGGAACAGGCCAGGTAGGTGGGGCTTCTCAGCCTTGGAAGGCAGCCCATCTAGGAGAAGGATGTAAGCACTACGGCGCTCGAAAGCATGCGTGTATGCCTGGACAGAGAGTAATTAGGAGTTTGCACACACTAAAATGGGCTGAGTGAGTCCTAGAGCTCAGCTAGCCGTGCTACAACCCTCCTTCTTACAAGTCTGCCCACTTAAGAACACCCTTGTACTCTCAGATCTTACTGAAGAGAAAAACATGCGGGCTTTGTAGTCCTTAGACTTATCTCGCACCACAGGCAGGACTCCTTAAGTATGCTAGGCCGAAGTAGCACTCTCAGATGACCCTAAGACAAGTTTACTGTTCAGGAAACCAATTGATTTTTATAATCATTATTTTATTAAAGAATAAGCATGTTTCTAGGTATCAAAAGCAAAAGCCAAAGCAAAGCAAATAAGCATTGTGTTAGTTATTTACAACTCTGTAGTGAGGCAAAGAAAACATGAAAAATATGCAAATGTCCAAGAACATTACAAAAATGCAAAAAGCCAAGAAAAATAATAAAAACAGTTCCAATAAAGTAATTCATCAGGAAAAGCAAAATAGTCCAAATATGTTAGAAAAAGGCTATAGTCCTCAGTGATCCTGTAGAATAAAAATACTGTACAAAAAGAAAAATCCAGTGTAAGAATATGTCCCATTGTCCTGTGTAAAATTCAAGATTATAGTCCATAAGGAGTATTTCATAAAAAGAAGTCCATAAAGGGTATTCCATAGGAAATAGTCCATGTGTGTAGGCCACAAGTAAGTCTCGAAAGACATTAGGGTGAGTCACGAATGACTGAAGAGTCGGTCATGAAAGACAATGTCCATAGGGAAAAAGTTCCTTTTTCAAGAGTAACTGGCAAGGGTTTATCGTACCTTCCCACGATGTCATCCAATCATAGTCCGTTACTAGGCAAACAGTCCTGTTGCACCACATGACTTCTTTCCCATACACAACAGATGTTATTTGGGTTACTGTGGTTTAGCAAAGAGTCACAACAATTCCCATCTATCTAATCTCACAGAGTCCTTTCTCATGCTCTCAGAATAGGATTCTCCCTGCTCTCACTAGCAAACAACCTGTCAGCATTATACAGATCCTTTATACAGAGAACAAGATGGAACCTCTCTTGCTCATTTCTTAATTACAAAACCCATATTCCTTACAAGATTGTACCTCAAAAACCCATCTCATCACAATTTCAAACCTCCAATGCCTTGTGGCTATATCCACTGGTGGAAAAGGATTCAGGAGTTAATCTCAAGGCAAAATCTGGAGATGGAGTCCCGGAGGCAGTTTGTGTCCTTCTGGCAATTCCTGCGACATCACTGGAACCAGCTGTATTGGCTCTTGCCTTTCCATTGGACTATTTCCTTGAAAAATTTATAATGAGACAGTCCAAAATGGAACAAGAGATAGTGCTGGAAGCACTCCCAGTTGGAAATCAGGTATTGGGAAAGAGCAAAGGACAAATACAAATAGCTCTGCCTCTAATGACAAAACTAGATTAAAGCTGAAAGGACGTTTATTTCTTAGCATAAACATTAAGAACCAAATCCTAAAAAATTGTGGGTGAGATGACACATTTGCAAAATCACTGATTTTTTTAATTTCATGAAGCAAATAAGAAGCAGCTATTGGCAATTGTTTTAAGCAGGTAACCAAAACTTGGCAAAAAAATAAGCACTGTATTTCTAAAATAAAGCAAGAAATCAACAAAACCAAATAAACCCATTTAAACAACAAGAACAAAAGCAATAACAATTTAAAAACAATTTATAAAATATGTTGTAAAATCTTTTCTGAAAGCCAAGACGGTTTTCAAAAGAATGTATTTGGATGCAACATAGGTGAAACACCATTCTCACACACCCAACAAACTCAACTCTCTGTATGACTATGCCCTTGGGAGTATCTCTCCTGTAGATCTTAACAGTCAAGACAGATTAGTATATATTTATCATTCTCAAGGATAGGTACTAGCACCTACAGACTACAGCATAAGTTTCAAAATATGTGGGGAACACACAGGGAAGTGTCAAAAGAAAAGCTGAGTAAGGGCTAAGCAGCATTTCCAGTGATCAGGACGTGTTAATACATGACATAATTCTTTGTTCTCCTCTACACCAAGCCATGACAAATAATAGCAGAGGAACACATGGATCTGCCCAGAATAGTGCCTTGGCACTAACAGGAGCCAGATAGAAATTAAAGAAATAAATAAATACAGTACATGGAAAATAAGTAAATGCATGCGGCTATTTAAATAGCATGATTACACACATCTCAGAAATCAGTTGACATAGTACAAACCTGGGCCACTTTGGCACTTTCTAAGACACAGTATACAGCCCTGATCACTAACTACCTGATTCAGAATGTAAACTTTTAAAAAATGGTCTGATTGTTTTCTACACTTTATACATACCTTTAAAACATAACAGAAGCTGCAATGTGTATATAAGCCTGAAACTTAGTATTCATGCAGGGGTGGGGGGAACTGTCTTCTTTATTGAAAATGTTTGTGCATGATGAAAGTCAAAGCTATTTTTAAAAAGAAGATTTACCATTCAGTTTGAAAGCAGTCCAAAGTTCTGTTCATGCCCATTCTGATTAGGAAATTGCAAAGGAAATCATCTACAACTTCTGGTGTTTCAGACAAGGAATGCTTAGCAGCCTGGCTTGGCCGTTGAGCCTAGAAACATTAGACTACTATTAGGAATATTGTCAATGTATCTGCCTCATTGTTTTTCAAGAAAATATTTTTAATCATATTATTTGTGATATTTTGAGACATATATAATAATAATAATATAATTTATTGTCATTGTAAGTATATACACAGTATACCATACAACGAAATTACACTGTTACATAAAAAAACATAGCAGTGTATTGCTCACATGTCTGGAAATTTTATAGCAAATTCATTTGGAATATCATGAATTTCTCCATGTTTTCACATTGTACTTTTGTAATTCAATCTTACTCATGTTTACCAGAGAAATTTCCCAAAATAGAAAAATTTTCTATTTTATAGAATTTTCCAGTTTTGTACGATATATTTCCAAAGAATATTTCCCATGCCAGATACATCTGTATTTATCCATCGTTGTCTCAGCTGTTCTACTGCATTCAATCATTTTAGATAGGCTAAATACAGAATATGAACTTCTATAAGTTATTTTTCTAAGAAGACAACCATTGACAAACCCTAGTGCTTAGCTGCCCATGGGGAAAATGAAAAACATGTATGACAACCTCTTCCAGTGCACAACCTGACTGGTTCTGAGTGGACCTGGACCAGATATATGGCATATTAATCTATAGCCTAACAAATGCACTGCTCAATTTGTCTCTATTTCATGAAATTTCTTGCTTATCAATCAGTCAAAAAGACAGGTTACTTACCTGTAACCATGGTGCTTCAAGTGGACCTCTGTAAATTAACACAAGTGGGTTAAAACAGCGCCTGCGCTGGTCCTCTCAGAATCTTCTAGAGCTTTAGCAGAAAAGTAACAATGTTTAGGTTGCCCCTATAGTGCATGCTCCGCTTGCCTCAGCTCTCAGTTCAATTTGTCCGCCACAATAGCCTGAGCTTATCCTAGACTTAGTCAGTGACGGTGGGGAGGCTGGGCAGGATGTGTGAATTCACAGAGGTCCAGTTGAGGAACCATGGTTACAGGTAAATAACCTGTCTTTCTTCATTGTGGCCTCTGTGAATGCACACAAGTGGGTGACTAGAAAGCTCACCGGAAGGAGGGCCGTCACTGAAGAATGGATGTCAGTACTGCTCTCCCGAAGTTGGTCTCTTTCTTAGCCCGGAGGTCCAGTCTATAGTGTGTAATGAATGTAGACACATTGGACCAGGTGGCTGCTATGCAGATGTGAGGTATATCAACACCACACAGCAGGGCCGTAGATGTAGCAACAGCTCTAGTGGAGTGAGCCTTGAGACCTTCATTTGCTCTGCAATTCATAGGCAAGAGAGATAGTAGAGACCAACCATCTAGATAAGGGATTCATAAGGGATTTGGTTTAGATTACACATGATTTTTGGTTTAGATTACACAAGATCCCAGTGATTTTTCTTACTTTCTTCAGTTTAAGCTTGAGTTTTGCTATAAGAAGCTGATGATCAGAGCCACAATCAGCTCCAGGTCTTGTTTTTGCTGACTGTACAGAGCTTCTCTATCGTTGGCTGCAGAGAATATAATCAATCTGATTTTGGTATTGCCCATCTGTTGATGTCCATGTATAGAGTCACCTAAAAGAGTGTTTGTGATGACCAGCTTGTTCTCTTGACAAAACTCTATTAGCCTTTGCCCTACTTCATTTTGAACTCCAAGGCCAAACTTACCTGTTGTTCCTTTTATCTCTCGACTCCCTACTTTAACATTCAAGTCCCCTATAATGAGAAGAACATCTTTCTTTGATGTCGGTTCTAGAAGGTGTTGTAAGTCTTCATAGAATTGGTCAATTTCAGCCTCTTCAGCATTGGTGGTTGGTGCATAAACTTGGATTACTGTGATGTTGAAAGGTCTGCCCTAGATTCGTATTAAAATCATTCTATCATTTTTGAGATCATATCCCAATACAGCTTTTCCCACTCTCCATTTCTTCTATGGGATTCTTGCCCACAGTAGTAGATATGATAATCATCCAAATAGAATTCTCCCATTCCCGTCCATTTTAGTTCACTGACACCTAGGATGTCAATGTTTATTCTTGCCATTTCCTGTTTGACCACATCCAGCTTACCAAGATCCATAGATTTTACATCCTAGGTTCCTATGCAGTATTTTTCTTTGCAGCATCAGACTTCCCTTTTATTTCCAGGTGCGACCACAGGTGAGCGTCCTTTTGGCTTTTGCCCATCCTCTTCATTAGCTCTGGAGCTACTTGTACTTGTCCTCTACTCTTCCTCAGTAGCATGTTGGACGCCTTCCAACCTGAAGGGCTCATCTTCCAGAGTCATATCTTTTAGCCATTTATTTCAGTTCATGGGGTTTTCTTGGGAAAGATACTGGAGTGGCTTGCTAGTTCCAGCTCCAGGTGGATCATGTTTAGTTAGAATTCTCTACTATGACCTGTCCGTCTTGGGTGTACCTGCATGGCATACCCCATAGCTTCTCTGAATTACAGTGGTGCCCCGTTTAACGATGATAATGCATTCCAGCAAAATCACTGTACAGCGAAATCATCATCAAGCAAAAACAACAACAACAAAAACACCATTGGAATGCATTGAAAACCGGTCAATGCATTCCAATGGGGGAAATACCTGATCATCCTGTGAAGATCCTCCATAGAGCAGCCATTTTCTGATCCCTGTCTTGCGAAAATAGGTCAGCAAAACAGCGGGGAGCCATTTTGCGAACCGCCGATCAGCTGTTTGTAAATCGTTGGGGATCGAAAAATTGGTTCCTGAAGCAGGGAATTATTCATCATCAAGCGAAAAAACCCTATTGGGATCATCATTTTGCAATCGATATAGTGATCACAAAAAAGTCATTGTAAAGCAATTTTGTCATCAAGCGGGGTCATTTTCAAGCGGGGCACCGCTGTACTCAAGCCCCTTCACCACAACAAGGCAGCAATCCGTGAAGGGGAGAATGGTTGCATGCAGGCTATATAAGAAGCTAGAGCCCGTCTGACATCGAAGGTGTGAAGGATGCATTCTTGAGGAGTAGATGGAGATGGGAAGATGGACGGAAGAATCAAGGGTTAAGAGAGGTGGAACTGGGAGACAACCTTGGGAAGGAATGAAATATCTTCGAAAAGCTGGACCTTGTCAGGGTGGAACTGGAGATATGAGTAGTCGAACCGTAAGGCTGCAAGCTCACTGGCGTGTCATGCAGCAATGATTGCTACGAGGAATGCGGTCTTAAAGTTTAAGAAATGCAGGTGTGTCAATGCACGAGGCTTGAAAGGGTCCCTTGTAAGGAGTCAAAGGACTAGTGACAATGACCACTGAGGTGGAGGAGAATGCGCTTCAGAATCTATGTGCCTTAGCTCTTTAAGAAAATGCTTGAAAGTAGGATATCTGAAGAATTTAGAGGTTGGAGAGGTTGGTGGTTGGTGCACAACAATGGCAGAGAGGTATACCTTGAGCGATGACATAGAAAGTCCCTTGAGCTTAGGGTTAGAAGAAAACATAGAATAGTGTATAGAGAAGGGTTAGTTGGCAGCCGTGTTATTGAGGAAGTGAAGCGTTGGATTTTTTTTTCCCATTTATATGTGTAGGCTCTCCTGGTCAAGGGTTTCTTTGCATGATAAATAACAGTCATCAAGGAGGCAGAATTCTTCATGCTGTGAGATGAAGTCCTGGGAGGTCTGGGTGGAGGGTCTGAGCCCTGTTTTGGGTGAGGAGGTGAGGCAAACAGAGAAGATGGTAAACTTCGGAAGACAGCTGGTGGAGAGTGAGAAACCAAGACTGTCGTGGCTACCATGGAGATACTAGAGAGAATGGCATTAGGTTTGTCTTGCCAGAGACAGACGAATATCATGTGGAGGAGTGGGAATGGTGGAAAGTCATAGGTCAGTGTTTTGGGCCAATGTCTGATGAAGGCATTGCCAAGGGAGTTCTTGCCAACTCCTATGCAGGAACAATAGCATTTGCACTTTCTGTTTGCTCTGGATATGAACAGGTCGATTGTGGGCATCCACCAACAAGTGCAGAGGGACAGGAAAATTGTTTGGTGTGGTTCCCATTCATAGGCTTGGTATTCTTTGTGTCTATGTAAGTCTACAAGATTGTTTTCTTGGTGGCTGCATGGACTTTTGTGAGACATATGTGGTGAGAGAGGTACCACTCCCACAGGTTGATGGTGAGATATAAGAGGTTTGGGGAGTGCATACCGCCCTGCTTGAGAATAAAATACATTGCTGTGGTATTATCTATGGGTATCTGGACCATTTTGCTGCGAAGGTGGTTCCAGAAGGCTTTGCCAATCTTAAGGATGGCTAGCAGTTCTAATTCATTGATGTGAAGCATTCTTTCTCTCTGTGACCACTGGGCATGGATCTGGAGGGATCTGCAGTGGGCTCCCCAGCCATGTCTGTGGTGACTTGTATCCATAGATGGGGCTGCTGGAAGGGTCACCCCATTGTCAGGTTTTGTTTGGAGAACCATCAAAATAGTTGGGAGGCAAGCTCTAATGAGATACATAAGAGGGCATGTGGTGGGTTGGAGAGTGGATATAACAGGGCTAGAAACCATGCCTGAAGGGATCTCATCTTTAGGCAGGTGTGCTGAATGACAGAGGTAATCAAGGCCATCATACTAAGGATACATTGAACAGTCAACAGAGGTGCAAGAGCATGAGGTATGGAGCAGAAAGATTGAGACGCTTGTTATCTGGGAAAAATGCTCAGGCCTTGACAGTCCAGGTAGGCTCCAATATAATGGATATGTCTGGTAGGTATTAGGGTAGACTTTTGCAGATTTACTGCAAGGCCAAGGTCTTGAAGGAGAGTTAGAATGAAATGGATATTACACTATGCTTTGTGGTGAGACTGAGCTATGAGTCATCGATGTACGGGAAGACTTGAACACCTTGTAGCCTGAGGTACGCTGCTATGGGGACCATGCATTTGGTGAATAACCAGGGCACTGTGGTGAGCCCAAATGGCAGTCTTTTGAACTGATAGGCCTCAATGCCTAGCTGGAACCGAAGGTAAGGTCTGTGAGGACCATAGTGGAGGCCATCCGCCGGGACCTCTCTCCTTTTTTGAATACAGTGAGTCGAGCAGAGATGTCCAGCACTCCATCTTGCCCAGTAACTCTTGATTCCTTTCAGCCTGTCACGCCTCATTCTGTGGCCAGGGTGCTTGATTGCTGTCGAGCCACCACCTCCTCTTTGGACCCTTGCCCGGCCTGGCTAATCAAAGCAGCCAGGCCGATAACAACAGAGTGGGCCACTGCAATAATACAGTAAATGGGTCTTTCCTTGAGGGCAGGTTTCCTTCTGCCCTCAAGAAGATACTCATTAGTCCCATAAGAAAGAAACCTAGTTTGGCGGCGGACAAAACTGGCAATTATAGGCCCATCGCCAACGTTCATGAGCAAAGTAGTCAAGAGGGTGGTGGCTGACCAGCTTCAGACACATTTGGATGAAACAGATGCCCTGGATCCATTTCAGTCGGGCTTCAGGCCGCACCACGGTACAGAGACAGCATTGGTCGCCCTGTACGATGACTTGTTGTGGGAGGCCGACAGGTAAAACATCTCTGTTGGTCCTCCTCGACATCTCGGCGGCCTTCGATACCGTCGACCACGGTATCCTCCTGGGGAGGCTCTCCGAGCTGGATATCGGTGGCTTGGCTCTGGCCTGGTTCCGCTCCTTCTTGGAGGACCGTCCCCAGAGAGTGCAGCTCGGGGAGAGTGTCTCGGCCCCATGGAGCCTCAAATGTGGGGTTCCACAGGGGGTCGATTATCTCCCCAATGCTGTTTAACATCTATATGAGGCTGTTGGGCGGGGTCATCAGGGGGTATGGAGCATCATGTCATCAATATGCTGATGACACCCACCTCTACATCTCCTTTTCACCAACTGCAGGTGATGCCGTCCTGTCCCTCCAGCGCTGCCTGGGGGCCGTACTGCAATGGATGCAGGAGAACGGGCTGAGGCTGAACCTGGACAAGATGGAAGTTCTGAGGGTGGGTGGCCCTGTGGATGGTGGCTTGGGAAACTCCCTCATGTTTGGGGGGGTGGCCCTGGCCGCGAACAGTGGGGTCCGCAGCCTGGGGGTACACCTGGACCCGACACTCACCATGGAAACGCAGGTGGTGTCAGTAGTCCGCACTGCCTTTTTCCACCTATGGTGGATCACCCGACTGCGGCCTTATCTCAACGCAGGGGCACTCACTACCTTGGTGCATGTGCTTGT